CGAGAAGAGGCTTGGTCGACCAAAATTGTATTAGTCGCAGAAAAAAAAATCCACAGGAAGCGGTGAGGTCACACAGTCCGTGACGGACAGATCGTTAACGGCTGGATTTTGTGGTAATACAGCACATCCAAATGCTCGCCTATCATTCATCAACCTCAAATGGCTTATCATCTGAAATATGTAAATAGTAGCAACTTTACATGGCCGCTCAATCTAATGTTAACCTAGAGAAATGTGCGCTGTTCAAGTGTCTGTGCGGAGTGTGAAAGCTGATTAGTAGCGCGCTCACAGCATGACAGATGGAGGCGCCGGTGCGGTCACTTGCTCTTAAAATACTTCGTCATTTTAGTCATACAGATAAGAGTAATACATCTTTCGAATGTGTAAAGCCTCTACGTTTATTTGTGTGCACTCACTCAACAACAAAACATTGCGCTTTTGTAAAATAATGAAAGCAAACAGGATGCGCTTTCTGCCGTCTCGGCCTCTGTTTACCTGAGCGCGAAACTCCGTGTATACTTGCCTTACAGACATGAAAATTATATCTATAGAGAGTGAAATGTCTACTTTCAAATGAAACAATTCAAATCTGAAAAAAAATAAAAAAATTCTCAGATAATTCAATCCGTATGGAACTTGCATGCAGGTGCATCCACTACTGTGGAGATGACGAGTCAGTGTCGCCGAAAACACTAGTTTATCAAAAGATTATTAAAATGTTAATGCAGTTTAATCTTACTGTTTTTAAAATGAACGACTACTAGTCGACCAGAACAATCTTTAGTCGAGGGCAGCCCTATAAATCATGATATAAACTGAAACATGGATGAAAAAATCTATTGATTGTGTGATATTCCTTATAAATTTAATTTATATAATCAAATATAAATAAATGTAATATAAATATATACAATACATAAGTAATATATTTCTGTCAATTTCTTCAAGTTCAACTTAATTTGAATGTTATGACGATCTTTAGGTTTCTGATCATATTTGATGATAGTTTTTACCAAATGAAACTGTAAAATGCTCATGAAGTGAACTCTTATGTGCAGTGTTTGTAAACCGCAGCGCATTCTGTGGTAGATGAAACTGCGCTGCTCATTCATTCTTAGACACATTGAACAAGTAGACTTCATGTTTAAATAAGTCGTTTGCGGTTTAATAATAATAGACACTAGTCCGTACCATAATTTGAAGTAATTGTGAAGCTCTACTTTAGATTTACTAATCTAAAATTAGCAAAATTCTGTGACAATCCATGTTCTACAGTGTTATGAATGGTACTGTGAATGGAATACATACCTATTCATGCATTGCATTTGGGATTTTGGCAACCCACTTATGCATAGACTTAACACCACATAAACATTTCCAGATTGGCTTCATGCCACGCATGACATATAATATCGCAGTATACCAATGGCATACTGCTGTCTAAATTAAGGCTAATAGAGTTAAACGTTGCTGTTGATGATCGCATGTTTAGCTCCACTAAGTTCCAATCAGGTGTCGGCTTTAAACAGCCTGATAATAACGTGTTGTTGCTACAGGAAGTGACATTAACGGGAAATCCTGTTTTTCTGCCTGCATTGACAACAGTGGTGTGATCCTTTACCTGTTTCAAGACTACCTAGATACAGTCTAATGAGAGTTACCTGGCCTGAAACCACATAGGAGCAAACGGTGACTTACCTAGTAACAGTTCATTAGTTCCCTGACCTCTTACTTGCTCACAGGCACAGTCATATGACTGACTCTCTAAGAAGACACATGCTACTTGGCTTTGGCCTCTGGCGTAAGCCTGAAAGGTTTTATATGGGATTAAGAAGTCAGAATGTTGGAACAACATACTGCCTGATTGGATAGCCTATAATTAAAAGCCATAGTATGTGGTAAAGCTTTGGTGATTGGCAAATCAGGGCTCAACAGGAAGGATGGTTTGATGTCTCGAGGCCACTACAAGAGAGATTTGGGCCGCTGTGTTGCCACTGCTTCTTAATATTCATTGGTTGTGCACATGTTTTTATGTCTTGCCAAACATTTTATTCTGTGATATGTTGACTGAATACCAAAATTGTCAAGGGTTGCCGGTCTATAAGTTTCTCATCACCTTATTGCATGTTACAAATGTTGTTGGTTTAAATGTTCAATCTTATCTACTTCGTATCTTCATTAGCAGATAATTTGGCTTTGACAAAATACAATTTTTAAAAGTCTGTATACAGTCTGTGTGTTTCAGCAGCTAATTAATACCAAACTGCACACCATTGTCAAATAAAATTTGATAAATTGTCAGTACAGACATCTTAAAGGGTTAGTTCACCCAAAAATGAAAATTAGCCCACAAATTACTCACCCTCAAGTCATCCTAGGTGTATATGACTTTCTTCTTTCAGACGAATCCAGTCGGAGTTATATTAAAAATTGTCTTTGATCTTTCAAGCTGTTTAATGCCACTCAGCGGTTGTTGCATGCATCAGTCCAAAAGAAGTTAAATAAAAAGCGCCCATCCATAAAAAAAAAAATGTCTCACACGGATCCGGGGAGTGAACAAAGGCCTCCTGTAGCGAATCCATGAGTTTTTGTAATAAAAATATCAATATTCAAGACATAATAATCACTTTAATGTAGCTTGCGCCAACAGTTGTACACGGAAGCAACTCCGGGTGGATGACGTATGAGGTCGGCTTTGCGCATGCGCCGCTCAGAAGTGACGAACACGGAAGCGCTCGGGAAGAGATCAAAACAACGGAGGATTTCCAAGAGGAGACTGGTTTTCCTTTGCTAAAGTAAGGAAACTTTGCTTCCTTTGCTCCTGTTGCTCCTGTTTGGTTTTCACGAGACTCACCGGCGCATGCGCAACGCTGACCTCATACGTCATCCGCCCGGAACTGCTTCGGTGTACAACTGTTGGCGCAAGCTAGATTAAAGTGATTATTACGTTTTGAATATGGATATTTTTCTTACAAAAACGCATCGATTCGCTACAGAAGGCCTCTGTTCACCCCCCGGGGCCGTGTGAGACACTT